ACAAATAATGCAGTTTAAATATACGTAACATTTTACCTAACGTTCAATGAATGGACGTCTGCCTAAAAGTGCAGTCTTAGCTTCCATACCTCTTTTGATGATCCATCTGACGATTCGTTCTCGGAGTGATGGAAAAGATCTATCGGTATGATGACGTGCACGGACATCAGTTGGCGCATTGACTCTATTTATAGATTCTAATCCTGGCTTCGGTCGATAGTTGGGATCACATCATATATCCAGCCGTGTATCCAAGGAAATATTTTTCACCGGAGAGTTTGCTCCATGATGTCCATGGTAGCTTTGTTAACAGGAAAGCGATTTACGTTCGCCAACAAATGAAAATAAAAGCCATTGGATACCAGTTCCAGCCATCGCAGTTTGAACAGTACTTGATTGAGAACGAGTTTGATTTGAATTCAAAGTTTCTTCTGGCATTGTACACAATATGTAGGTATGATTATTTTGTACAAGTGACACTGAACATATCATCAGCAATAAAAACAGTTGCCAATTTACCGTCATTGACTTATCTGCGCAGGCAAAGTCAGACTACACATGTTTGTTGATTTATTCATAATTCAACGCGCGCTGATTATTGGTCCTTTTGGATCCGGATAAAAACTCGACCGCTGTTGAATTTGATCATGTGATGATAAATATTAAATGAATTCAACATGACTGCATCCTCAGCTGACCACCAACGATGGTACCATGTACTCAAACAATTCACGAAAGCACTTGCGCCATCGACAAGAAGCAAAGCTTTAACCTTTGATTTATTTGCCTCACTTAATGAAGCTTCCGCCACTGATGAGCTTGAACCGAACGCCAATAATCTTGTTATGTACTATGAAATGATGTTTGAACACCAGATCAACCCCATACGAATTTTCCCGAGGCCATCACCAAAATAAAGACGTGATTAAAGTGACATAACGGTAGAAAAACTAAGTGATCCGAGACAGTGCAACATGCTGATGAATTTTCCTGGCATTGGCGCAGATGACCTTCAAAATATTCATTGTTCTTGTTCAGCTTCCAACGACTCATGGGATGAGATTCTAAATATTTTCGCTACGGTTACCCAAGCCCCGTGTAGTTTATTCACAAATGACCTGAATAAAGCCTCAAGGGAAAATTATCTTGCGGTTTGGACACAGAAATCTAACAGCTACGACGAACACATACAATATTAAAACCTGACCTTGATACCATAGCCGAATATAGGGAGCGAGGCCGCAACGCTGCCTGAGAACAATTAGAACTGATTCGTAATTTCACACCTAGCCGCAACGCGTTTGAAATATATTACATTAGCGAGAGACTGCACTGGAAAGTCTCACAGAGGGTTTGCACCTCTCATTAAACAAAATGAGAGAGTAGCAGAGACCGAAAAATAATTGGGTAAGAGGTTTAGAGAGTCGTATGCACCACCATTGCGATTATGGGAACAGAACTGGGTCAGGACAGTTTAAGCCATTGAACACTTACCAGCGCAGAGGGTGAAGTTCCAAAAACAGTGGATAACTTGTTAAAATTGTATGATCGCCAAAGGCTTCTGTGTACTTGACGCAGACGTCAGAGCGGTACTTGAAAACAATCTATCACCACACCCACCAGTGAACGAGTCAGTAATGAAATCTTCACACATTTTAATGATAGAGGTCAGAATATTTGAGAATATTGTACGTGCATATTTCTCGTCCTACCCCAAACTAGAAAAAGTTTGTGTTAGAAAACAAAACAGTAGAGGATAGTAGCTACAATATGAATAAGGTATGGCCAAGGTGGGTATTTAGGGAGATTTTAATTTTTCTTACACTTGTGAGCACTATACTATGCTATTCCTACCCAATGCATATCAAAACTGATTTATACGCAATTCCAACCTAACACATACCAATAAAAGTTCATATGTATGTCCTACGCAGTGCACGCTGATTTATACGCATGTCCAACCCAATGCATACCATTAATAATTCATATGCATGTCCTACCCAGTGTACACAACGGTTTATATGCATGGCCTACCAAGTGCACGCTGGTTTGTACTCATGTCCAACCCAATGCATGCCAATAATAATTCACACACACACACACACACACACACACATATATATATATATATATATATATATATATATATATATATATATATATATATATATATATATATATATATATATATATATATATATATATATATATATATATATATATATATATGTCATAAACAGTGTACACAATAGTTTATATGCATGACCCACCCAGTGCACGCTGATTTATACGCATGTCCAACCCAATGCATACGAATATTAATTTATATGTATATCCTTATGTCCTACCGAGTGTACGTAATGATTTATAAGCATGTCCTACCCAGTGCACGCTGATTTATAAGCATGTCAAACCCAGTGAATACCAATATTAATTCATATGTATATCCTAAACCAGTGTACATAATAATTATATGCATGTCCTATGCAGTGCACTCTGATTTATACGCATGTCCGACCCAGCGCATGCCAATATTAATTCTTATTTTTGTCCTACCCAGTGTACACAATTTTTATATGCATGTCCTACCCAGTGCAAACTGTTTTGCACGCAAGTCCAACACAATGCATGCCAATAATAATTCATATGCAAGTCCAACACAATGCATGCCAATAATAATTCATATGCATGTCCTACCAAATGCATGCCAATAATAATTCATATGCATGTCCTACCAAATGCATACCAATACTTGTTCATATGCATGTCCTACCAAATGCATACCAATACTGATTCATATGCATGTCCTACCAAATGCATACCAATACTGATTCATATGCATATCCTACCAAATGCATACCAATACTGATTCATATGCATATCCTACCAAATGCATACCAATACTGATTCATATGCATGTCCTACCAAATGCATACCAATACTGATTCATATGCATGTCCTACCAAATGCATACCAATACTGATTCATATGCATATCCTACCAAATGCATACCAATACTTGTTCATATGCATGTCCTACCAAATGCATACCAATACTGATTCATATGCATGTCCTACCAAATGCATGCCAATACTGATTCATATGCATGTCCTACCAAATGCATGCCAATACTGATTCATATGCATGTCCTAGCAAATGCATACCAATACTGATTTATATGCATGTCCTACCAAATGCATACCAATACTGATTCATATGCATGTCCTACCAAATGCATACCAATACTGATTCATATGCATGTCCTACCAAATGCATGCCAATACTGATTCATATGCATGTCCTACCAAATGCATACCAATACTGATTCATATGCATGTCCTACCAAATGCATACCAATACTGATTCATATGCATGTCCTACCAAATGCATACCAATACTTGTTCATATGCATGTCCTACCAAATGCATACCAATACTGATTCATATGCATGTCCTACCAAATGCATGCCAATACTGATTCATATGCATGTCCTACCAAATGCATACCAATACTGATTTATATGCATGTCCTACCAAATGCATACCAATACTGATTCATATGCATGTCCTACCAAATGCATACCAATACTGATTCATATGCATGTCCTACCAAATGCATACCAATACTGATTCATATGCATGTCCTACCAAATGCATACCAATACTGATTCATATGCATGTCCTACCAAATGCATGCCAATACTGATTCATATGCATGTCCTACCAAATGCATACCAATACTGATTCATATGCATGTCCTACCAAATGCATACCAATACTGATTCATATGCATGTACTACCAAATGCATACCAATACTGATTAATGTGGATTAATATCAGGACGTTATGTTGTATGTAGTACATGATACACATCATTCCTAAACGTAAGTCTTATACGATTTTATGCTTGAAATGGAACTTAACTGTGGATTAAAACATTTTAAGCATAATAAGTTTTTAGTTAATGTATATTTAAAATGTTGTTTTCAGGTTGGTTTTATTATAGTGAACAGTGAATCATATTTATCACAACCGGTTGAAAAAGCCTTAGGGCGTTGCTTGAGTCAATCAAGCAAACTTGGGCCAACAAGAATGATCCTAGGTCATTAACTAATTCATTAGTATATATATATATATATATATATATATATATATATATATATATATATATATATATATATATATATATATATATATATATATATATATATATATATATATTTTCTACAAATACCTTTGTATAATGATTTGCCAATCAATAACTCACTAAAAGTAGCTATATTGAGTTGAAATTATTATGTACATTTAATTTATAGTGTTAGCTTATTATATTTTTTAAAATTGTTTTTATCCCATTATTTCCTGTGAGTAATAAAACTTTGTAAATAATGGCTACCCATGTCATAAATCAGTGACAGTTTTGGTAAACAACTTAATTTCCAACAGAGTGAGAAATATTATCTCAAGCTGAGTCAAGGACATTTATTTTGTACATAATTATACTTGGACTACATAATTTCTGTCACGTACCTTATGTTAGCCAACTTTCTATAACTTCTAGTCAATGAACGTTTGGTCCCCATCCGTGGTTTTGATTTGCATCTTAGTTTGTCGTATAACTGATGTTTTAGTAAAAGTCTGTTATTCGTGCTTTAACATCAAACAGAATCAAATTGTGGCCAGTGGTTAATTTAGGCCGGAATTTATTTCGTCAAATAATTTAATTTAAGTGTGTGTGTGTGTGTGTTTGTGTATGTGTGTGTGCGTGTGTGTGATTTGGATTTATAACTTATTTTCAACAAGTTTTCAGAAATGTCGCTACGATGTCTGCAGTATGGAAGTTTGATGTCGAGCATTGGGGCATCGTGCCGCAGACACGTAGCATGACGTCCCACCCAGTAACATTGTCTTTATACTAGGCCAAGCAGTCCTAACACTAATATCTCAATGCTGATCGCATAGCGAGGCAGCTGTAAGTACCATTTATTTTAGTCTTTGGTATAACTCGGCTGGGGTTTAAACCCGCGAACTTCCGCATCCGAGACAGACGCTCTAACCATTAGGCCACCGGAGAGGTCTAATTCAAGTGATTTGTCTGTGGAAATACAGTGTCCTTATAAAAATAGTATTCTTGTAAATTCACATTCCTTGAGATTTATATTGGATTCAAACCTGGAATTGTATTATTGCAATCCACTGTTGGAAAATTAAAAGATTACAGCGTTTTAGTTAATTTGGAATTCCACCAAAGTTTATTAAGAACTTTAATTAGTAGAACTTGTGACTGTAATTCTAAAGAATGTTCCGTTGGTCTAGTGGTTAGAGCTTCCGCATCGGATGAGGGAGTCGCGAGTTCAAACTCCAGTCGAGTCATACAAAAATACTTTAAAAAATGATGCTTATAGCTGCCTCACTAGGTGCTCAGCATTAAGCGGTTAGTGTTAAGACTGGCCGGCAAGGTGTGACGATAATATTACTGGGTTGGACATCATGCTACATTTCTGTGTCATGATGCCCCAGTGCTAGTACAATTTGTATAAGTCTTTGGAATGACTCTGTAGGGGTTCGAATCCACAACTTTCCATATCAGTGGAGGACGATCTAGCAACTAGGCCACTGGAGTGGTCCCGATAAATCAATCCAACACCTATAATAATATTTTCTGTACATTCAATTCATGTAGCCCACCAACTTTTTGAGGGGAAGGGGGAACGCTGATTGCCATATTAAATATATTATTTATTTGAGCATTAAGCTTGCACCGAACATAACTAGTTCAATTTGACTGACCTATCCAATACATGTATGAGTGTGCTCTGTATGATAATAGTAAAAATAATTCAGATTGTGATAAATTTGTAATACGTGTGTGATTTGATTAACCGCTTAGGCCACCGGAATGGTCTCCTGCTGCGTATTTTTTTCTAATGCGAAAAATCGAATTCAGCAAACACTACTCATTTCTTCCAGGTAGGTGCGCTGAAATTAAGTAAAAGGAAACACATTATGAAAATCTGGAAAAAGTCAGCATAAATCTGCAGTGCAAAGTCCATTGTGATCAGAGTTAAACGAACAGATAGCCATAAGGTACATGCATATCAGATCTTTATTAAATATATCCATCCATGTTTGAGATCAAAATGTTAATAGGAACTAAATGATTGAAACGTAATAATACATAACGGGTCAACACCAGTCACTGTTTTATTTAAGACAATATTTTTGTTTCGATATTTCAAGGAATGCTATGCCAAATTATGCTAAAATATATAAACGACGATAAAAACTCGTACATGTCTTGATGGTAAAAATATCATAATAAGTATTTCAGCTTAAACGGCATCACATATCCCTGAACAAACGATACATGTTAATCATTGGGTTGACACTTTCTATGCTTGACCTACATTTGTTACTTCTGAGAAAGTCGACTGCAACTGCGCTAGCAGTTCATGACGCTACGTCTTTACCCTACATATGAGCATACGTCTTTACCGTACATACGGTGTATAAGCAAATATCTTCTGCATGAAAAAAAAAAAACAAAAACAAAAAAAACAGATAAATGCAGAGTTTAAAAAAAGATATAAACAAAACCTTTAAACAACAAACTTTAAAAAAATTCAAGGCAGCGGATTCCTTAACTCGAAAATTATGCTAATTGCCGGAATTAATAATAATAATAATAATAATAATAATAATAATAATAATAATAATAATAATAATAATAATAATAATAATAATAATAATAATAATAATAATAATAATAATAATAACAGCAACAACAACAATAATAACAATAGTTTTTCTTTTTAACACAAGCCACTGGCGGGGCCCCGAATGGCTGAAAATTCTAAAGCTGTCGCCTTAACGGACCACTGCCGTCTTTCCTCTGACAATGTGGGTTTGGGTATTGGCTTTAGCTAATGTCGGTAAGTGAGTAAGTAGTTTCCGGTGGGTCGGTGAGTCTTAGAGGGGTTTTCCCGGGATTTTTCTTCCACCACTTATCCATACATTATGCGATACAAAAATTAGATTTAGTATGTAGCAGAAGAACATCGCATCTATAGGAAGTTTTGTACATATTAATTATTGTTGTATTTTTTGTTTGATTGGGTGAAATACAAATATATATTATGCAGTAATCAGTAATAACACAAAAAACTAAAGAGAACCCTATGGCGTGCAAGGAACAAACATAAACTTTGTGATCTAGAGTCAGTAGAGCTGGAGTTTATAAATCGGCTTCACTAACTCCTGATGCATAGAATAATAATAATAATAATAATAATAATAATAATAATAATAATAATAATAATAATAATAATAATAATAATAATAATAATAATAATAATAATAATAATAATAATAATGATAACAACAACAACAACAACAATAATAATAATAATAATAATAATAATAATAATAATAATAATAATAATAATAATAATAATAATAATAATAATAATAATAATAGGTCTGCTACCACTCGAACAATATCTATTGATATTTATTTATAAATAAGAACAATGAGATCAATAGAAATTATAAAGCGAGCAACGCGTATTAGATACACTATGATATTTTACAAAGCTTTGAATCGGAAACCACAATTACATTTTCCAGACCTTGCGGTTTTAAGTACAAAAAATAGCCCAGGGCACTGATACGTCACGTAAAGTTTAAAGGTATCCAGAAGAAAGGTTGAAGGTTTATAAAAGATAAATTGTCCAGAAACATGAATTGACAACAACGCCTGCTTATCGTCATAAATACGATACAAAATCGTTTCTTTTTATTTGACAATTAAGCCAGAATGAACTATTATATAAACTTTTTTTTTCTCAGTGAAATGTGAATTGTGGTTTATAAACTCTCGCTATATTGGGAAAACGAAGAAAGTCAACAATCATACTTAACATTACGGGTTGCAGCTGAATTTATTTTTCTTTAAATGTCACTAATAAATCTTTGAGAAATAATAGTTTGTTTGCATGAATTTTTATTATTCATAAGTGACCAACTGTTCATTTGGAAACAGTTCTAGAATGAGATCAAAAGGGTTTCTTTAGAAAATAAAACATGCAAAAGATATTGCAAAAATTACTTCAAAAGCAACATTTTTTGAAGAGTTTATTAAAAAGATAAATAAAATAAATATAACTAGATATTATGGAATATAAATTATGACAAATATCATTTATAAAAGCAGAATGATGGATTTTACAAAACAATATTGTGAAACAAAGAGTTGCATGTCACCAACGATACACTTTGTTATATATCATAAACAGAAAGTGTGATTTTGTGATTTATAATTTTATCATAGTTTTAACAATTTTTCAGTTATATCACTACGATGTCTGCTGTGTCACAGATTAAAGTGACACAGAAAGTCACACTCACCTATATATATGTATATATATATATATATATATATATATGTATATATATATATATATATATATATATATATATATATATATATATATATATATATATATATATATATATGTGTGTGTGTGTGTGTATGTGTATGTGTGTATGTGTATGTGTGTGTGTGTGTTCTGTATATGCCTTTGAAAAAGACTCAGTAAGAGTCGAAAGCCCTCGGGCTATTTAGATACTAGTTTTGCACTGTTCGTCGTCAGTTTATTGCATCTTAATCAATCCCTGACACACGTGATCCCTTGCTAGATACAGTGCACTTGAAATGACTTTAATTCGCCATATGATTTGCAGTCTTATAAACAAAGTATAAAATATTGTCAACAATAAATAAAATTTCATTTCATTGTCGTTCCGCAGCATCTTCTTTTTTTATAAAAAAAAGAGGAAAAACAGGTTGAGGAGTGCGTAAAGGACCCTTCTTGTTATTGCTTTTGAAGGGTGCAGGAATCTCCTGGAATAGTGGAGCGAGAAACGATATCTAGACGGTGTACAGATGCCATGCCATGAAGCTCTATCATTTTTAGATAGGCAATATGAATGTACTGTTCATGATAATAAGGCAGGACAAGGTCCCAGAGACAGGTTCTCACACACCCGGCATTCCATGCATCCACACAATGCTGATTAATTGTAACACTTACCCTACTGATAAGCGAACCAAAGCGGCATCCAAAAAGAACAACAAGAATATACATTGCCAGAAGACACACCTGTAAGCTCTGTTACATTCTTTATAATTGCCCTTGCATGCTCCCATGGTAGGATTGAAACCCTACAATTAAGAATGATTTTACCAGCAAAGCACATAAACCATTTTTTGCGGTACCCTAACCATTTAGCCACGGCCTGATACTCCCAACTTATGCACAGAAAATGGGTAGTGAAAAACATGTTATTGTGAAACATCTTCTTTTGGACACGTAGTACATTACATTTGCGGCTAAAACAGAACGGTTTACAAATTACTATCTTTGTTGCTAGTTGGAATGTTTCGTCAATAATAATTAGAAATCAGTATTAAAATGCTCTTTACATCTATTTAAGACGTTGATACACATTCAAAACATTTACAATATTTTTCGGCAGCTACTCTGAAATATTTTAATACTGCTCTACAAAATAATTTTGCATGTGTGTTATATCTTATGCTTTTTCTTTATGCACCTACAAATGAAAATAAAATGTTAGATATCTTTAACAGTTGTCTTTATTAAACAAACACTTATTATATCTACTGAATGCTCTCGTTTCCGGATGTTTTAATTCACATATCATGATATCAAAAATGTTTTCAAAACACAGATAACTGCAAAAGAGAGTTGACAATGTAACTGTATTCAGGAGATATGTGTTAAATCCTATTAAAACTCTAAAGAACGGGGCTTTTGAAAGATCCTGGAACATAGCTCTAAGTCCCTGTATCTTTTATTCCCCACAACTAATGTGGAAAGCATATAACTTTCTGTTTGATATAATGCATGTTCATATTCCCATTTGTAATGCATGCACACAAGTTGTCATTTATGACAGTTCATTTGCATCATTTGTTACTGACAAACATGCAAGATGAACACATTCCCTGCAGCAAATTCAGTTATTTTCTAATGTGCTGCAACAACATGCAAGA